ATATATATATATATATATATATATATATATATATATATAGAGAGAGAGAGAGAGAGAGAGAGAGAGAGAGAGAGAGAGAGAGATTAAGCTAGAATAGACAGCATGCTATTTCAAAAAGGTGCCATTTGTGAGTATCTTATAATCTTATATGGACTTATTGAATTTGCCTTAAAGTTCCATTTCCTGAGAAGATCATCAAGTTAAGCTTTTTTTTCTTCCGCAGGAGTATTGTTAAGAAATAAAGAATAAAGCTTTGAACTGCTAAGGTAAATGATTTGACCAGTTGACTTAGTGTACCAAACTCTACAGCATAATACATTACTGAAACAAAGCTTTAGAATTATTCTAGGATACATGAATCATGCAGTTGATACTCTGTCCCAGCAAGTTGCTTTACAAATTTCATCTTGTTTAGAACATGGTTATACCATCACTTGCAAGTTAGGGATAAACTTACAAGATACAAATATTGGTCAATGGGGACCAAATTAAATAGAGCATCTCTGGCCTATCAATAATACTTTGAACTGAATGAAAAATAGACGGCATTTTATTTCTGCTGCGGATGCTTGTCAAATCATAAGCGTATTGATGATTAGATATTCTCTGACATGGTTTTAGTGGATAAGGTCATTAATCCGTCATTCAACACGCTGGTTTCTCTTCACGGAGCTGAGAATTTACTTTTCTCTTCCTATGCAGATGAGTTCAGGCCAAATGGTACCTTCAGAGATCACATATTCCGGTACCTCAACTTCCCTCATTAATGCGTCATTTTTTTCTGTTACTTGATCTATACAGGTGTGCTTTTGTTGTTGTCTGCATGATTTGTTGTGACTACATATAGAATAACTAAGGGTATGTTTGTTTCGTTTTTCTAGTGTGTGTTTTTAGGTATTTTTTTGTATTAAGAATGTAAAAAGATGTATTGAAAATAGAAAAAAGGTATGCTGGGAAGAGACATTTATTATTATTTAATTCTGAAAAAACCAACTAAAAAAAAAAAACAAACAAAGCCTAAGAGAGACAGAAAGAAAACACAGACCCACTTTGCTTTCTAGATAAGATTGTCCATTTCATTGAGATTTCTTGCCCTAGTAACTATATCGAGATCACTAGATGAGAAAACACAGACCTCTATCTGCACACTGAAGCAGATCGTCCCATGTTTCATTGCGACATCAAAGCAACATACTACTGGACTTTTAAGTGCTAAGGTTGCTGAGTTTGGACTTTCAAAGCTTTGCTCCTGACTTTGCCTTTTCGAACATCTCTTGTGCCTGAGCAATAGCCAATTCTGCCTCTTGGAACGACTTCCTCATACCTCGAGCTTTGTTTGCTGCACCTTTGAACTTACTCGTCTCTTCACCCCAAACCACTACTTCACCTTGGTACCTCATCATCTGTCTCATCTTCATTTGCCTCGTCTGGTGTTTTGAACTTTTTCATATTTCGAGTCCGAGCCTCTTTTGCCTCTTTCGACCTTTTCATATCTCGAAACTGAGCACTGTTGAGGCTACGCAGGTCTCTTCACACCCGCCCTTGCTGTAGTGTTAGCTTTAGAAAATTTACTATACGATCATTCGAGATCACCTGTTTAACCCGGCCGCTACTGCTAATATTGAAGACTTCCATACAGGAAAAGAAAAACACATTCATCAGCAGCAGCAACGGAGAGGGAGAGGGAAGAGAATACTCCCTTTGTCCCACTCGAGATCACCTGTTTAACCCGGCCTCTTTTCTCCAGGTATCCCGTACCGTTCACTTTATACAAGACAGCTCCTCCCTACAGAAAGACAACCATGACCAACACAACAAGAGTCATAGGGAAAAACCAAACAGAGGAGAAATTCTAATTCTTACTGATTCAAAATGCCACCCAGCAATCAGTACTCCAAGTGAGAAATTGGCATTGCTGTGAGGTACATGCTTCAGAAGCTCAGCCAGCCACTGGGATACTTCCAAAGCAGAGACTTTTCTCCCCGTCTTGCATTCAAGTTGGTCTCACTAAAACACATACAATGTCCAGCCATGAATAACAACAGTCAAAAAACTTCATAGGAAAACCGTTTCTAACAAATTTTTGCAGGGAAACTTCTTTAGGAACACCAGCAGGTACCTTCCTGGGCAGATAAATCTTGCACGAATGTTTGCAATCACCAGAAAAAGAAACAACCAGTTGTGGGTGGAGTCGAACAAAGTTTTTTGGAAGTGAATCAGTTCCTAATTTCTTTGAATGATCAAGGGCTACCATAACATTTTCATGGTCATAAATGAACCCCAGCGTTGTGGTTCCCTTTTCATACACAGAGTGAAGAGCCTACCATCAACACCACCACCAATAAAAATAAATCAAACCCAAACAGAAAATTACACCCAAAATGAAAATATTTCCAAAGATTAAGCATACGAGTACGATAATAGTAATTATATACAAGCAAAACAAACAAAAGCAATCAAACAAAAATTTAATATAAAGGGAGGAAACTGAAACAGGAAAACGATATCTAGTTCGGATAAGAGGAGAATTCCAGAGTGGCAGAGATTTTCACCTTTTTGCCCATAGTAAAGCTGTTAAGGTCAATCGCGAGAGATTGTATCAATCGTTCGTTCTCACGTTCAATCCGAGCCAAAAAAAAAAATCAGGCTGAAAGCGAGACAGTGTTGACTTAATTGATGTATGAGGAATCTAGACCTAATTTTTCCAAATAGTATCCAATAGATGATGCATTAACTAGTTAAACTACATAAATCTGCCCAAAAACCAAAAAGCAAACAGCAAAAGAAACCCACCCGAATTCGATGAAGATTACCAGAGATAATTTACCTTCTTCGCCGACTTCCAATAAGTTTTCTTGCGTAGTAAGTCTCAAAGGGTCCGGATTGTCCGGTTCGGTTGGACGATCCAAACCGGCTAGCAACTATTTTTCACCTCAACTCGATCTCTACCCATTTTTTTTTTTTTTTGAGAAAATAGGTATTCTTTAACAATTACTGGAAATGGTCGCCAATTGAGAAACAAAGCTTGGAAGATCATTCCAAACTTCAACCCTTTTACTCTCACTACACCTGTTTATTAATCAGTCGACCCGTCTAACCCGTATACTTTTTTATAAAAAAAAACTTAAAAATAATAATAACAAATTCAATAAATGTGTAATTAATCATTTATGTTTAGATGAAAAATTAGCGCCTATTTGAAATTTCTAAGGGGAAAAATTTAAAAATAATAATAACAGATTCCGGCCCTAAGCTCAGCTCGCATTGAAGAAATTGACAACAATATAAAGAAAATTCAGCAACGAAATCGAACCGGAAAAAGGAGAGCTAGTTCAAAAAAAAAAAAAAAAGGAATCCAAAGCAAAGGAGATTTATACCTTTTTGCCGGTCGTAGATAACGGCTCAGTCCACGGAAGATCGAAACAACCAGTCTTACGCTCAATCTGCGCAAAACAAGCAAAATCAGACGAAAACAAAACAAGGTTTGCTTGATTGATGCATGTGGATTCTTGCCCTAATTGTTCCGAATCGTATCCATTAAATAAGAAAATATGTAGAAGCAAGAATTCGACGGAAATAAACAAACGGCAAGAGAAACCTTAAATCGACAATGAAAAAGGGAATCTTAGAAGCGAACAGAGATGATTTTTTTATATTCTTCGCTGACCTTGGAGAAGTTATCTTGCGCGTATTCTCCTCAGGCTCCGGGGAGTGCTTATATGCCATGCTTTAGGGGTCAATTTTAATTTTAAAAAATTAAGGTTTGAATTATAATATTTTGAAATAGTATCCCAGAGATCTTCCTTCCATCATTATGGACATTTTCAATATTCTTGATTATGAGTGTATGGACAGTAGGGGAATTCCTGAATATATATAGTTGCTAATCCAGGGAGATTATGTTTGTTGAAATCGGTTCGGGTCGCCATGGATTTGAGTTTTTTTGAGGTATGGATATTGGAAACAACCTCCAAGATGATAGTTTCTACACAAAATCTCATTACATGAGCTTTCCAACGTCAAAGACTGTGAATTAGAAATTCCAGACAGAAAATTGGATACACTTCTAAGCTTTGTAGCACTGAGGTTCCTCATGAAGCGAAAAAAAAAAGCCCTACAAATGCATCTTGCAAAGAATTCAAATTCTCCAATACAATGGTTTAAGTGATAGTACTATAGGACCAGAATATCACTCTAAGAGCTGGAGCATTCATTCGGAACCAGCTACTGCTGCTATAAAAATCGAAAACAATCTACAACACGCAACTGAAGTTTCAGACTACAAATCTCTAAATCTTCTAGGTGAAAACAGTTCTCTAGTGTCAAATCTTCAAGAGAAACGGCAATTAACATTAAGATGCTTCAATCCAATACATTTCTCTAAACACAATTTCTTAAGCCTAGGGAAGGAATTCGATGAGGGAAACAGATTAGAAAGGGAGGGTTGATCATGCAACATCACTTGAGAAAGTGATAAGCGAAACTACAGATTGAAATCCACCCTTGAGAACCATCAATGGAGGTAATCCAAATACGGGATACCTAGATTTCAACTTAAAAACCCTTAAGGACTCACTAAAGATAACACACAACGCGGGAAGTTGAAGTAATCAATTGTTGTAACCTCAATATCAAGCTCTTGAACATTAAACTTTGTAGCCCACCTGATCAAGTGGTTCAACATTGAAAAGCTCACACTAGCGCAAACTCGAAGAAACCTAATATCAGAATAACATTGTCTTTTACGACAAACACGACGACAAGTCAAAAATCGATCAATGGTTTCAGCCTCTCCTAAAGACTGAAATCTTTTAGTCTTGCCATTATTTGTTACGTTTGTGGAAACATTATCAGTGGGATGGGATGATGATTGTTCATTTTTATGCTTAGACTCTGGTCTCAGTTTTTTTTTTTTTTTTTACCAAAAGAAATTTGCCCATCATCAAAACACACCTACAACAATTGGCTTTGGTTGTATCTTTCAATTGTTTTCAAATTCTTCAAAAGCCAATCTTATTCTCCAAGTCCTGGATGAATGCCTCAATCTCACGTCCCGAAGATCCAAATTCAGAAATAGCTGCTTGACTAATCTCCCTGATTTCCTGCGCCTTTCTCCTCATTTCTCGCACTTCTTCACATTCTGAATCCATAAATCTCTTCAAAACTCGAGACATTTCTCCCCTCTCAAGCAACCTTCTATCATCATCATTTTCCTTCAATCTGCAGCCCATTTTCCAATGTTCCACAATGTGTTTTGTATTCACGCATTGATCCATCCCTAATGGGCTAGCAATCACCGGTACACCGGAAAATGCAGCTTCTTTAGCAGAATTCCATCCGCAATGTGACCAAAATCCACCAATACTAGGATGGGACAACACTCAACTGATCACACCATCTTACAATTATTCCCTTGTTACAAGAATCACAGCCACCAATTAGTCCAAGAAATCTCTCTCTGTTTTCTCTGGCTACCCAAAAGAATCTAATCCCACTGTTTATTTATTTATTTTTTTTTTATGTTTTTCTTTGAACGCCGGAAACAAGAAATAATAAAATTTTTACCCAGGAGTCATGAAGTATTATTACGCAAAATTCTAACATTATTCTTGGTTGCTAAATAATACTTCCCCCTTGCCAAAATTTAATAATCACCTTCTGTCCAATCATTTCTACAGCTTGGAGATTTCCTGGATGAATGCCTCAATTTCACATTCATAACTCGCCCTTCGACAAACTTCACCGATCTCCTGTGCTCTTCTCCTCATTTCTTGCATTTCTTCACTTTCTTCATCCATAAAACTCTTTAAAATCCTTGATATTTCTCCCATTTTCACCAACCTCCCACCATTATCTTCATTCATTCTCAAACCAATCTTCCAGTCTTCCACAACCTGCTTGCTATTTGTGAATTGATCCAATGCAATCGGGCAAGTAAGAACCGGTACACCAGAAAATGCAGCTTCTTTAGCGGAATTCCATCCGCAATGCGACCAAAATCCACCAATACTAGGATGTGACAACACTTTCAACTGATCACACCAAGTCACAACCAAACCCTTACAGGAATCACCATCACCAAGTCCATCAACAAATTTCTCTCTGTTTTCCCTTGCTACCCAAAAGAACCTAATCCCACTGTCTCGAATCCCCGCAACATATTCGTCCAACTGTTCATCAGAGGAAGCAAAAAAACTCCCCTGAGAAATATACAACACAGAAGCTTTAGGTTGAGCATCCAACCAAGAATTATGATCATCATCATTGTTGTTGTTCTCATTGAACGAAGGAATTGATAGTCCTATGGTGTAGACAGGACAGGGGAGCTTCTTCTTCAAAATGTCAATGACTTGAGATTCCAATTCGTAGACTGAAGCCATCAGTAGATAGTCCGCTTTGCAAGCCACAGGAACAAATTGTGGGGCAGATTTGTTTTTTATCAGTACCTTGGGAAAATCTGCAATGCGTATAGAAGGAACTCCAGGAATGCAGTTTACCCGATGCTCTCTTTGCTCTGCATAATCATTTCATGAGTAAAATCAAAACATGCATTTGTGATCCATACATCAACATCGAATTTTAATATTGTATAACAGAGCGAATTGCCTGTCCACGGGCTCAATGCTCAAATTAATCATTTCACGACAAGAATATTTCCTCAGTTTTAACGACTTGGGGCGATTTGTTAGCAAAAACCAAGAAGACTGCTTAATTTCCAAATAAAACTTGACCAAACAAGAACATGGTCAACGTTGTAAAAGTACAATTATGGCAGAAAGACTACATCTTTTTAGTTTGATACTCTTTAAAAATGCAAAGCATGAAACTAACTAAAACAAAAACAAGATGAAATAGGAGACTAACCCAGGAGATTGGCCGGCAACTGGCCGTTCTGTATAAGAGATTCAAAATGGTAATGGAGAGTGAAAATTGTTGCTGACAACGGCCAAAACGAAGCCGCCGGTATAGCCCTCCGGCGAGCCACTCCCAAAACCCAAGTCAAAAGTGAGTCGTATATGATGACTTTAGGCTTTGGCAAGAGATCCAGAAGATGGTCAACCGGAGCTTCCATCTTGGTCTTGACAGCATCAAGGAAGGCCTTATGGTCTTTGGCTCGGTGCTTCTCGGAAGGAACAACATCGGGGATCGAAGCAAATCGGATGTTGTGACCGGATTCCGGTTCGGAGCTCAAGAATCCCAGCCACTCTTCAGTAACTATGAAGGTTATGAGAAAATCGGATCTTTGTTTGGATATGAGCTTGCAGAAGTTCATCAATTGATTGATGTGGCCTCTTCCTGGGTATGGTATTGCTACCAAATGCCCAGAAAAGTGATTGGGGAATTTATCAATGATTGAATCCATTCAAGTTTCAGCTATAGTTTTTTTTTCTCTTCTTCTTCTTCTGTTTTTTGTTCTTTTGAGGATTATGGTTGACTAAGGTTTAGTGAGTTAATAATATAGAGGAGTAGCAATTATTCCTTAAAATGGTTTGACCTACTCCACAATTGCCTACAAAGTACAAACCATGAAATTTCTTGTTACACTCCACTTATAACGAGTATAATAATTTTGGGTATAAATTTATAATTTGTGTTAAAATCAAACGAAAATATTTCATAATTAAAGATTTTCTTTGGAGGCATCAATTGGAACATGACATTACGCAACCCACAATTAGAATTTATTTATTTTTTTAAAAAAAAAACCCCTTAATGTCTAAAATTCTAACATTACGTTACACAATAGATACGAATATTTGAAAGAACAATCAGCTAGCTCTGTAACTTTACTTGGATACGTTCTCAATGAAAGCCTCAATTTCGCGGTCTGAAGATCCACACTCGGAATCAGCTCTTCCACAAATGTCTCCAATTTCATGCGCTCTTCTCCTCATTTCTTCCACTTCCTCACTTTCTGAATCCATAAACCTCTTCAAAATCCTCGAGATTTCTCCCCTGCCCACCAATCTTCCATCATTACTTTCCTTCAATCTCCAACCAATTCCCCAATCTTCCACAATCTGCTTGCTGTTTGTGTTCTGATCCCACGCTATCGGGCTAGCAAGCACCGGCAACCCGGAAAACGCAGCTTCTTTAGCAGAATTCCATCCACAATGTGACCAAAATCCACAAATACTGGGATGGGACAACACTCTCAATTGATCACACCAATCTACAACTAACCCATTATAAGGAGGATCACCACCGCCGCCATTAAGTTGTTCAACAAATCTCTCTCTGTTTTCTCTGGCTACCCAAAAGAACCTTATCCCGCTGTCTCCAACCCCGGCGATATATTCATTCAATTGTTCCTCCGAAGCGGAAAGAAAACTTCCTTGAGAAATGTACAACACAGAAGCTTCAGGTTGAGCATCTAACCAAGAAAATTGATGATTATTATTGGAGTCCTTGCTGTGTCCATTGATAATGTCCAGAGGAGGAATGGATAGGCCTATTGGGTAGACAGGACAGGGGAGCTCCTTTTTCAAATTTTTGATGGCTTGAGATTCCATTTCGTAGACTGAAGTTAGGAGAAGATAATCTGCCTTGGCTGCAAAAGAAACGAATTCATGGGACTCTTCGATCACTCTCTTAAGTTTGCCTTCCAGCAGTTCCCTGGGAAAATCTGCAACACGAATTGAGGGAATTCCAGGTATGCAGTTTATCCGATGCTCTCCATTTTCTGTAGTATAACCCACAAAAGGCCAAAACAAATTTAGGAGAAATCAGCAAGGATGACAGAACGTGGAAACATAATCCCAAAACAATCATACTTTTTTTTTTTTTTTTTGATGATTTCACTTTAATCAAATGTATCGATTGAGAAATATACGAAATTCTAAGATGGAAGGGAGACTAACCTAATGGATTAGCCGGCAATTGACCATTCTGGACTAGAGATTGAAAATGATACAGAACCGTGAAAAAAGTTGCAGACATAGGCCAGAATGAAGCAGCAGGGATGAACCTCCGATTAGCCACACCCAAAACCCACTTCAGAAATGAATCATAAATGATGGCTCTGGGCTTTGGCGGATCGAGCTGATTGAGCAAATACTCAAACGGACCTTCCATTTTGGTCATGATAGCATCAAAGAAGGCCTGAAATTCTTTGGCTCTGACTTTTTCAGAAGGAATAACATTCGGGATGGTGGCGAAACGGATACTCTGACCCGGGTCGGGTTCGGAGGCCAAGAATCCAAGCCACTCTTCAGTAACCACGAAATGTATCAAGAAATCCGATCTCTTTTTGGTTATAAGCTTGCAGAAGTTCATCAACTGGTTGATGTGACCTCTTCCCGGGTATGGTATTGCCACCAATTGACAACTGAAGAAATCCGTACTGTCTTTGATGGAAGATGAACCCATTGCCCTCTCTGCAAAATTTCTTCTAGGAAAAAGTTACTGGAGGATAATCATAGTGAAGTGAGCCAAATATAATATATTCTGAGGTGCCGATTGATGATGAACTTCCACATTCTCCGAGGTGTCAAACCCCAAAATATGTCCCAAATAAAAGTAGTTGACTGAAATATAGCTGTTTGAGGGAGTGGTCAGAAAAAATGTATGCCGGAAATAGAATTTTCGTTTTTCATTGTAATGTTCATAAAACGGATTTTCAAATTCCGTTTTTGTAGAATTAGTTGTAATTAGTACTTTATAATACGTCGATTATAAAAACAGAAAACTATATTCCGTTTTTCACTTAACAATTTATATAGAATTTGCCCGAGCAACCAAAAAACGGAAAATAATTTTTTTCTGAAACCTAAAACGGAAATCGAAAATCCGTGTGAAGGTTGTATTTTGAATGAAAAAACGGAATTTCTATATCCGTTGCTGAACCTGTAAACAGAAACAAAACGGAATCTCTATATCCGTTTTAAACCTGTAAAGAGAAAAAAACGGAATTGCTATATCCGTTTTTAAACTTGTAAACAAAGAAAAACGGATTTTCGACATCCGTTTTTAAACCAGTAAACAGAAAAAAAACAGAACAAGTCTGCAATTGCAAACCTGTTGAAACCTGTTAAAAAACAGTTAGCAAACAGCACCAAAATAACACCAACAGCAGCCTCAACTCAAATAACCCTTGAATTCACACATTAATTCAACAAAATATTTCAATTGTAACATGTTTAAATAAAAGACTACATCACAAAATATTGATCAAAAGTAGATTACCAACAAAATGATGCCATTACAATTCCTCCTCGGGTTGGGCAGTGGATGACGTGTAGCGATTGACTTTCTTTAGTTTTCTACGCGGCCTTGCTAACGCCAAAGGTAGACTAGATTCCACATCCATATTTGTAGATTCACCTTCTTGGTTGGCTTCGTCCTGATATGGGGGGTTGGAGTTTGAAACAAGTCGGCATTGAGTTCAAAATCAAATTCTGGTTCTTCTTCTTCAACAATTTTCTGCCTTCCTCCTCCAATCCCACGGTGAGGAATGTTTCGTTTGCGAACTTTGCCGACCGGTTGAGAAGGTTGTGGTTGAAGATCAACAAGTGATTGTGTGGGTATCAAAATTGGCATCTCATGTGCTCCAAGGGATAAAGCACTTATAGAATGAGAAGTGAGTTCAAGAAGGAGATTCGTACAAACTGAATTTTGGCAGACATCTTCTGATTTCTTGTAGTCTTCTACCATTTTGCAGATGTCGCTCAAAGCATCAGCCTAAAATCAATTTAACCATTAAAAATGTAATTAAAAAAAATAGCAAACCTGAAAATTCTTTTTTTAAAAAAAAGAAAGAAACCAGCTTTAAAAAATAAAAGAGAAGATTAGAGATAAAAACTAAAAGAAAGAAGAACAGAAACCCAGATGTCCAGAAAACAGAAAGGAAGAACATTTCAAGATGTCCAGAAAGAAGAACCCAAAACTAAAAGAAACCCAGATGTCCAGAACTTAATCACCAAGAAAGGAAAAACGGGAGAAATAAATGCAAATTATTGTAAGGAAAAAAAAAACAAAGGACTTGTCAATTTAAAAAAAAAAAAAAACAAGTTTACAATTTAAAATAAAATTTAAAAATGGAACTTGAAAGCAGAAAACAACAAGATCCACAAGCACCAACAACACCATTTGTACAGAATATACCACCATGTAGCACTAACAACAAATCATACACAATGAAGATGCGAATGCAGTTATTCTCAAGAAAAAAAGAAACCAGCCTTAAAAAAAAAAGAGTAGAGATAAAAAGGAAAATACTTACATAGAATTTTGCACGATCCGAATGTTCACGATACCCTTCCTCCTGAAAGTTGTACTTATTGGGATCCTTGATAAATTTGATGGTATTAGTTTCATACCATGGGAGATAATCATCATCGGTTGAGGATTGAGCACTCGGAGACCCAGCCACAATGGAATCTGCCCTGTTGTTCCATTTTTTGATATATTCACGATGATGTAACTCCCAATTGTTTCCACCTCTTCCAGTCCTACCATACTTGTGCAACTTTTCCCATTCTTGGGAACCAACGATCATTGGTTGTGGTGGGATGAATTGTTTGAAGCCAAATTGTCGCATCACACGGTTAACTTGATGCAGTTCAATGACATCCCAGCAAATTAGCCAAGTGTTGGATTGCCAATGATCTCGACCCCGTGTACATCTTTCAGGTATCTCCACTCCTTCATAAGGTTGCCAAATAAACTGAAATAAAAAACAGAACATACAATCAAGGCTGTCAGAATAGAATACAAAAGGAATGTAGACATTTTGCCAAAAGAAACAGAATACAATAGAAAATGCTTTTTTTTTTCTTTTTTTCTTTTTTCTATTGTTCTTTGTTTTCTTTCTATTTTTTAAGATTACATAAAGAATGGAACAAAAAGGAAGCAATGTCCTAATTAATTGTAAGAGGCAACTTACAAAAAGAAAAAGGAAGGTATGGCCTAATTTGCTTTATTATAACAGATTGTTAAAAAAAAAAATAAAAGAGGCAGCTTTCTTTGTACATTGTAAAGTAGCATATTAACTAAATCATATTTCTACAAAAATAGTGCAAAAGCCATTTATTCATTAAGTTCAAATTCATTCAAAAAGAATTTAATCAAATATAAAATTAGAAACCCTTACATCTTCAACCTTCCTAAGGCTCGCGAGTTGATCTCGTTGTGCTGGGAGACAGTGAGAGGCCACCTGCGAAAAATCCAATGAACACCTCCATCTTGAACCCAAGGCCAAGGTGTGATCGTCGTCTTCCGGATTTTTCCTGATGGGGCGAATCCTTGGGATTCGTTCATAAGCCCAAATCTGTAAATGAACACATGTTAGGTTAAAATAAAAAAAATTGTTATACATAAAAGGAAAAAATAAAGTAAATCAAATTCTACCTGCAAAAGAATCAAGCATCCACCTATATCCCATTTTGTCCTTTTTGATGCTTTACAAGATTATTATACAACACTGCAAGACATGCACTCCCCCAACTTAGTTTTCTACAAGTCTTAAAATCCTTCAGTAAGGGCAAATAAATCAAAGGCACAGTATTTCCGGTTGTGTCAGGAAATAGTGAACCTCCAATTGCCCACAAAACAAGAACCCGAGCCCTTTTCTGGCAAGCAGCATCGGAGACATTTGATGGAAGTTTTCGCTTACACTCATCTGCCAGCGAAGTGATTATAAGTTGGTTGGACCCTTTTTTCAATTTGGGCGTGAATCCCAAAAGCTCCTGGTACATTGGAACCCAACTAGCTGGTGGTGAATCTTGGCCAGTTACAAGGTTTCCATCAATTCTCAGTCCCAAAAGAACTTCGACATCTTGGAGTGTAATTGTTGCTTCCCCAATTGGGAAGTGAAATGTATGTGTTTCAGGTCGCCATCTTTCAACCAATGCTGTCACCAGGGAGTTGTCTAATCGAATGAGACCCGTCTCAAGGAAGTATCCAAAACCCATTTTAGCCACGTAAGCTTTAACACAGTCATTGGTCATTGCGTATAGCTCCCAAAGTAGATTATCAAATCGTCGACACTTATGGTGTTCATAAATGAATTTTGGCTCACTGTTCCAAACGGCATCAGATCGATGATCACCCTGAAGATAAAGAAGTGTAGAGTCGATCGGACCCTTATTTGTGAATTTTGGAGCTTGCGACGAAGAAGAACTAGCCATATTACTGAAAAAACCAAAAAAGGCTATTAGTATGGTCCACTAATAAACTAAACAAACCAGGAAATTTCAAACAGGTTGTCTAACAGAAACTAAAATACAAAACCAAAACGAAAAGCAGCAGCAGCAGCAAACATATGATCATGTCAAGTTCATATAAAAAAAACCAAAAGCAGCTTCACCACAGTCACAGAGAGCATTAGGCCTTGACAATCAACACCCAATTCCTATTAAGACTGAAAATTCCGCTTCAGCAGAAAATCATTTTTATCTGTCAACTTTGGATACAATTTTGGAAACATCTACAACTCTGTTTTATGAACCGTAAAAACTGACATACACCTTAAAGAGCAAGGCAAAGACCCTTGAAAAAAAATTGATCAAAAAGGTTCTCTAGCCATGAGAACCAAGCCCTTCAAAAACCAGTCATCAGAACTCGGTCCTAAGATTCCAGAATTGTGAATCCAACACCAAAATACTTCCCTTCATTTATGTTAAGCCATACAAATTTCCAACTGAGAAAATGGACCCGAAAAAGCAGGTTGACATAAGCAGCAAACAAATTTGTTCAAAGAAAACACCCAACCCAACACACGGCCAGTTTCCGGATTTGGGACAAATACTCACCCAGTCAAACACTGAAGCAAAAAATTCTCATACTACTTACTGCAGAAACTAATATGCAAAATTAAGACAAATCAAACGAAGAATCAAAAGAATCATAACCAAAAAGAAATTCAAATTACTGATATATTTGAATATAATACACTTACCTTTTTAACACTGACGCCTAGACGGGACAAACGGGCAGGAGCCGGAGATGGTGAATTGGGACTTGGAAGACCGGACGGAAGACGGGAACGATTCCGAATTGGGACTTGGGGAAAATTAGGGCAAAATTAGGGGAAAATTGGGACTTGGGGAAAATTAGGGCAAAATTGGTGCCTTTGCAGAAACGTGGAGGAACAAACAAGAAGAAAGGGGGAAAAGATGGGAAAATGAGAGAATCTGTGGAATTAGGGGAAAATTAGGGCAAAAATAGGGTTAAACCGGAGATGGTGGCCGGCCGGTGAAGAAATGGGGAGGAAGAAGCAAGAAAATACGGGAAAAAGATGCAGTTTTGACTAAATTTGCGTTTTCATAAAACCGGATTACCAATATTCGTTTTAGTAAATTTACAACAAACGGATATCATAAATCCGTTTCAACTATACAACGGATTTCAATAATCCGTTTTATGAGACG